TATTTTTTATTTAGAAAGTTCCGTACGAGATGAAAACATCATTTTCCAATATACGTAAATTAATGAAATTATTAATTTGCGATGAAATATTTAATACTTTATCAGAAATTAATTTTTCGTGATTTTAGTTTACACGTTAATATGTTCAACATTTTTGCATTAAGACATCATATTAAAGAAATTTAACGCTTGTGATATTTTTATAGCAATTTTTCAATTTATTGATCCCTCATTGTGGAATATTTTCACATTTCATTGATAATTATATTTATGTCCATATTTTCTTCGACGGGATAATTATCTATTTTCCATCAAAACATAATTGAAATATTGTAAAAAAACCTTTCTTGACATGTTATATTTCCTCAGTTCTTAGCTGTATTCGCATTATATAGTCTTACATATATTTTCCGAAAGAATGGTTGACGCGTCTTCGATTACGAGGGATTTTCTGTAACGCTATTTCCGCGCATCCATCGATCGCGCCAAAGCGTTCGCCGTATAATGGTTTCATTTTCCATTTGTACCTCGCCTACTAACGCTCCAATATCTCTCGTCCCGCCGCGCTTTAATAATATTACGCATTGTTGCGAGCGCGGTATGCACGCTTGTAAATTCGCCACGGTTTTCCGCCAATTTCGCGGCTGCGAGCCAGGCGCGCTCCTCCCCTTCCTTGCCGCAAAATCGCCGCGGGATACTCCGCTATTTCGATTATAGACGTAAATATCTTTTTTTCTGCCCGGCGTCAATTTACACGCACGAAACCCTCGCCGATAACAAAAGTCGTGCGCAACATTTTTCTAATGAATTTTAACGATACCGAAATGCGGCTGATTCTACATTGAAAAGATGAATTTTAATTGGAATTTTTATATTGCATGATAAAATAAATTTTTCAAAATTGTTTTAAATACATGCGCTTCAATTATATACGGTACAATACAATATGATATTCTACTTGCAAAACATCGTTCAACAGTAATTGGTAGCTGTCTTTCCCAATAATTGATGAATTTAACGAATTTTAATATTAAAATATTCCTCTGCAAATGGAAGAAAACTGATGAAAAAATATATATCTGTAATATTCTTCAAGTCAATAAAAATAATAAAATACTGCAATTTTGTCTCAAATAGCATATATAACGATGATATTAGCAATGATGTATGCAACTATACATACACATATATGCAACTTTATTAATTTTTCTCTTGTTTGTATAACTGTGCTCAAATAGATGTTTATGTCGGAGTATATTTCTAAATTATACCAGTTTTTTTTTTAAATCTGCGTACATTTAACAATACGTCTTACTGACAAAGAATACTGTATTACGGAATAATTTAAAAATTCTAAAACTGTCGCAAGATTGGAAATTGATCAGTGCGAATCGTGCGTACGAAATGAGGGAATTCCTTTCGCTGGTTTTCACGCGAAGTAAATCTGCCGTTGGGCAAGCAAGAGCAGCGTTAAAATGCGTTGGTGCACTCGGCGAGGTTGGGGGAGGCTGCGGGAGGGTGGCAAAAGGAGCCAGCGGTAAGAGAAGCGGCTAGAGAAAGAGTGGGAGAGAGAGAGAGAGAGGA